ACCGCGCAGCGCGGGGCTGAGCCCGCCGAGGGGCCGCTGACCAGCGCGCCGGCGATTAAGGGGCTTCACTCTCCTCCTCCTCCCCTTACCCCATCCGTGCGGGGTTTTGTTCGTTTTGCCCTTTTTCCCCCCGGGACCCCCCACCCCAAGCCGCCTCTGGGCGCCGGGCTGCCCAGCCTTACCTCCCGGATTTGGTGATGATCATCTCGGTACCCAGCTCGTGAAACTTGTCCCAGAGCTCTTTGGTCTCCAGGCTGCAGGAAATTTTGGCCATCTCCTCGCTGGGAATGATGGGGGTGGTGGGGATGAGGGGCTCGGTGCACAGGGACGAAGGGCTGGTGCTAAAATCCCCGTGAGGGTCCAGGCTGGATAAGTCACTCAAAGGCTGGGCGCAAGAGGATTTCTCAACGAATTGTTCTGCAGGGTTTGGGGAGGGGGGGGGAACAAAGAAAGAGAGAGGGGATTCAGCCGGGACTGGGCGCGCGCCGAGAAAAAAAAAACTTTTTCTAAAAAAAAAAATTTAAAAAAGGCATTTTTGGTTCAGCCCCCCACCGCGATGCAGCAACCCCCGAGGGCAGGGACGGTGATTTTCGGAGGTTTTCCCGGAGACGCACGGCGAGGGGTGTTCGGGGGAGCGGCGCGGCCGATGCCCGCTCCGCGGGGCGCGGAGGGGCAGGGCGGGCCCTGCGCGCTGCCTCCCTGCTTAACCGAGGGCTTCCATGGAAAGGTCACTTAATTCTCATTAAAACGGGAGCGCTCGGCTCCGAGGGGGTGCTGAGGGCCGGGGTCATGCGGGGGGGTGGAGGGCGCGGGCAGCTGCTCCTCAGTTGCGCCGCTGGCAGAGAGCGTAACACAGAAGGAGCCCGAACGCGGCCGCGCAAGCTCCGCGCTTCCTCCGCGGGAAAGAGAGCTCCTCAGACTAACTCAGCCGGGTCTGCTCTGCCTCCAGCCGGTTTGCTGAGCCTGAGCACACTTCCTTGGAGAAACAGGCTCCGGGGGAGATGCATGCGGCCGCGCAACCTGCGCAGAGGCGCTGGTTCCCCCTGGCTCTTACCCCCTCCGGGAGGCTGCGGGGGCTGAATTTCAGCCGAAGGAGAGGAGGGGAGGGAGCCGGGCTGCGGGGGTCTCTGCCCCGGCCCGGGGATGCGGCGCAAAGAAACGGGAGGAGCACAGATGCGCCCTGCCCCTACAGAGAAAGATTTCGCCCAAATCTCCGGTTAGTAAAAGCCGAGTTAGAAACAGTCGTTTCCCTTCGATTTCTAATGGAATGGCGTGGGGGGATGAATGAGAAAAAATTTGAAAACTAAATTGAAAAATAAACTGAAAAATAAATTGAACGAGCGGTTTCAGGGAAAAGAAAAAAAAAAAAAAGAAAGAAAAAAAGAAGAAGAAAACTAGCTACGTTTAACGCAAGACCATGTAAATATGTCAGACGGGAATACTACAACATTCTAGGCCTACGTTATTCCCTAGACTAAAAAATAAAGTTTGCAATGAATCCCTGGACTATGTGAAATCTATTGAGACAGTTGATTAGATGGAGCAGCCGCCGAGCGCGCTGCCTTTTCTAAATTATTGTAAGACTGAATGTAATATTGTTCATTGGCGCCCTGAAAGCTTAAAACATTTTTTTGTAGTTTTCTGCGAACTCTTAGATACATGCAAGGACCACAAGCCGCAGAAATTGGAATGGGGAAGAGGGGAAGATGCTGCTGGTTTTTAAAAGCCTTCGGGAACCTGAATCGAGGCGACAGAATAGAAGCGAAATCCCTTACCCCAAAATCGAGCTGAATTACTATAAAAATCCTCCCGGTAGATGTGAAGTGACACGGTCTAGATGAGCGTACATCTAGTAGCTGTGGAGCGAAGGGATCTTCCAGTACAAGTTTTACTACCGCTTGTAAGCCTAGGCACGGTACCGGAGATTCTCTCATTTGACTTCAAGAGCATACATGTTTTGAAATACCTATTGGAGAGGTTTATTTCACACCAGCAAGAGCAATGTTAACTACCGTAGGGTGTGAGATTATTCTACGAACGGCGAAGCTGGAGAAATAAACGGCGTGATTTAAACTGGGGGAAATCAGCAAGTAGTTTCTGCCGTAAAGACCCTCGCCTGAAAACGACGGTGGGTGACGGGGACACTGAACCGGCTTTGGCGACGCGGCTTTTCCTTCTGCAGGGAAAACCTGTGGGCAGGGGGAAACCCGCCGCTGCCCGACCCGGCTGCCGGAGCTTTGGGGAGGGGGGGACCCTGAGCGGAAAGCGGGCTCCGCCGGGGACCGACAGACGGACGGGCGGACAGACGGACGGGAGCTCCGCGTCCCGCGGACACCGGCGGTCCCCCCGGTCCCCACTCACCCAGCGGCTTGATGGTGCTCTCGGGGGACTCCTTGTCCTTGGAGCTGCCGCTCGACATGAGGGCGGCGATGGAGAAGGCGTTGGCCCGGGAGGAGAGCTGCGGCTTTGGGGGCGGCGTGTACTCCATGGCCACCCCGGCGGCGCGGCGGGGCTCGGCGCTGCCCGGACGGGGCGGTCGGTCC